TAGCTTTCTCCCATTCTTCTCCAGATATGAACATATCAATCCCTTCCTTTATCATATCAGAACTAATGAATAGCTCACCAGCCTGAGTGTGAGTGTGTGTGAAAGAGAGGAAAGGCAAGGAAAGTAATTCAAATGCATACATGTACATAATTTAATACATGTACGTGTACATGTACATGTCTGTGGATTACTGAATGCCACTATTATAAAAAATGTACACATGGTTTCCCACATGATTTTGGCATAGTGTTCAGATTCTTGTTAGTGGATTTTAAAAAGTTGCTCAGCAAAAGTTTGACAAAATATCCCGGCAAAAATGAAATTCTCATTACATTCTTTAATACATACACGTATACATGTTCTTGTGTTGTGTAAAAAGTTTGAGTAAAATTTAGACTTTTTATGAATTTTTAAAGCTGGTAAAAATCAGGCCAGTGACCTAAATTTTGTCAAAAATGACTAGAAGAGAATTCTCCATTTTCTGATACATATACATGTCCTTATGTTATTTATCAACTTTGAGCTGATTCTGATCAAATTTGAATTTTATATGAATTTTTGAAGTTGCTCCAAAATCTGGCCAAAAACCAAAGGCTATAGCCTTTGGTCATCAGTCATATTTCATCAAAAATGACTAGGAGAGGATTCTCCATTTTTATAATTTTTTCTGATACATATACATGTTCTTATGTTGCGTCAAAAGTTTGAGCTGATTTCGATTAAATTTGGTTTTTTAATGAATTTTTAAAGTTGCTCAAAAATCTGGTCGAACCAAGCCTTTGGTCTTCAATCAAATTTCATCAAAAATGACTAAGAGAGAATTCTCCATTTTTGTATTTTTTTCCTGATACATATACATGTGTACATGTCCTCATGTTGTGCATCAACTTTAAGCTGATTCCAAATTTTTTGTGAATTTTTGAAGTTGCTCCAAATGCCATGTACTGTATTGTAGTGGGAAACCCTGACTAAATTAATAATGTACATGGAGAGTATAAACATTACAAAACATTGAAGGAGACTTTACCCACAGGAATAAAGCTATTTTAAACTACATGTACATGTAAATAATAAATAGAGGACAGTCTTACCTCACTGTAGCGATTAATGTTAGCTAGTCTATCGCAGACAAGCTTCACCACATCAGCTTCTTTTTCACGAGCAAACTTAACACACAAATCAACAGCCTACACAATACAACAATCATTAATAACATGTACATCATTAATATCACACACTCATGTACAAATGACACAATCACTGTAAATTGACATGTACACATATATGCATTAATGTGCATTACATTATATTCTTAACTATAAAGAGGTTTCAAATAGAAGCCCATTCACTAAAACATTGGCAATTTGGCATACTATACATCAGGCCTGGGGTAATAGTAATATGTAATAGTAATTGTAATAGTAACGATTACAGGGCACCAGGTAATAGTAATAGTAATAGTAATAGAATCTTTGGCAACAGGAAGTAATAGTAATAGTAATAGTAATAATGGTCAAAGTAATATGTAATCTCAATATTACATAGCTATTACTTGCAGTGTTACACTAATAAGTAACAATAGGAAAATAGCATGTTAGCCAGGAACTATTGCTCAGTACTGAGACTTTTTATCATAAATATAACAAAGCATTCTTAATTAGAAACTATAAAAT